TGACTGTAGCTTGTGATTCATCTTATTTGTGTTGCAGCTACTGAACGAGATGACCCGGGGGGACATGGCATCGGCAGATGCCCTCCTGGAGATAGGACCTGGGGACGATGACATTTATGTCTCGGATCACGAAGAGGAGGACGATGTGTCCCTGGCCAGTGATCTGGACCCGGAAGAGCTTGTTGAGATCGAGGCCCGTCAGCGCCGGCTGGAGCAGGAAAGGCGAGAGCAGAGTGCAAAAAGGTGAGAGCTGGGAGAGACCTCCCTGGAGCAGAGGTTTCCTTTGGAGCAGCTCCAGAATCTGGCAGTGGGCCCACCCCATCCTGGCTGGGAGGCACTGATCCTGCTGCTGTTTGTCACAGGGTGAAGTTTAAGCAGAAGGAAGAGGAGGAGGAAGGGGAGGAAGTGGAGAATCCCCTGCTGGTGCCTCTGGAGGAGAAGTCGGTGCTGGAGGAACGACAGACCAGCCTGTGGTTTGGGAAGGTGAGTCCCACTGGGCCAGAAATGTCAGAGCAGCCTTGGCCGCAGCAGCTCCTCAGATCTGCCCTGACCCCCTGCTCCCCATCCCCAGGATGCCTTTGCCGGCATCGAGGACGATGCAGATGAGGACCTGGAGCTGGGGCAGTCGCAGATGTTGGCTGAGAGACAGCGCGAGTCTCAGAGAGGTCAGTGCGGAGGGCTGCATCACTCTGGGGGGCACAGAGGGACAGCCCCATGGCCTAGACTGGGGCACTGGATCAAACCATGATGGGGATACTGCTCTGAGCAGGACCAGAGAACTCCAGAGGTTATTTCCAGCCTGGATCGTTACACAGTTAACGAGCTGGCATTAGTGTAGCGTTAATGAGGTGAGTCTCCAGAGGAAGTGGGGTCTGCCTCAACCCTTTCTCACCCAGTTGTTCCTGTTCCCCAGACAAAGTGACAAAGAAAGGGCAGAAGAAGAAGGTAGCCCAGGAGGAAGCTCCAGCTGAGCCCCCACCTGCCGCAGACACAGGACCCGACACTGGTAATGCGCAGGATGAGCAGAGCAGCGATGATGACAGCAGCAGCGATGAAGAGAGGTGAGGGCTGAGAGGCGGTGCCCTGGATGTTCTCCCGCAGTTCCACAGTCCTGGAGGGCTGGGAGGTGGGAGGTAAGGACCCTAGCCCTGAACATTCTCCATTACATAGGCCACCGACACCGATGGGGAGGAAGCGGGGCCGTGTTGAGCCATGTGGCTTCGAGGTGGTGCCCATTGAGAACCCAGGTGAGTGGGGGGTGCTGTCTGGACCCATGTGTGCCCAGTGATACCATGCGAGTCCCTCTTTAGGGTCAGACTATGCTTATCTGGGCTGGCAGGGCTGCTTGCAGATAGGCCAAGCTTTAATCTGTCCATATGTTGCAGTCAAAAAAGCCCGTGTCCTGGACGCAGAGGGCCTGGCACTCGGCTCCGTCATCGCCACCTCCAAAAAGGCCAGGCGGGACCTGATTGATGACTCCTTCAACAGGTACTTAGAGCTGTGGGTGCTGGAGGGGGAGCAGCATTTGGTCTCCCAACAGGAGACAGGCCATGGGGGTGGCAGATGTATTGGTGTGGGGACCCCATGTCCTGCTCACAACTCACCTGAGTCCCCCCGCCCAGGTATTCCTTCAATGAGGATGAGGGAGAGCTGCCGGAGTGGTTCACAGAGGAGGAGAAGCAGCACCGGCGCAAGCAGATACCTGTGGACCGGCAGACGGTTGAGGCGTATCGGCAGCGCTGGCGTGAAATCAATGCCCGCCCCATCAAGAAGGTGGCAGAGGCCAAAGCCCGCAAGAAGCGACGGGTGAGTGGGGCTGTGGACCTGAATGGGTGCTCCATTCCCCCTCCCTGGTGCTCCATCCCTCCTCCAACCTCCTTTGTCCCTCACCCTCGCTGTCCCCATAGATGCTGAAGAAGATGGAGCAGATGAAGAAGAAAGCAGAGGCCGTGGTGAGCACGGTGGATATCTCGGAGCGGGAGAAGGTGGCCCAGCTGCGGCGGTGAGTGGCGAAGCTGAGGTCCAGATCCTTCGTGTTGTGCTGGGCTGGTTTGCCATGCCTTGTCCCTGCAGCCACAGCACAGGGACAGCCCTGCGTAATGTGGCTGGGCTGGCAAAGGCTGGGCTGAATCTGGGTGTAGGCTGAGGCATGGCAGAGCAAGCAAGGGAGCCCCATTTTGGGGCGCACAGGCCCAGAGGCATGGTGGGAGCCCATATTGGTCTTTGGTCCCAAAGCCAAACTGCTGGAGCTGGGCCACCGTGCTGGGTTCTCATTCTCACCTTTTGCCGTTCTCTTGCAGCATCTACAAGAAGGCTGGACTGGCCAAGGAGAAGCGGCAGGTCACCTATTTGGTGGCTAAGAAAGGCGTAGGACGCCGGGTACGCCGTCCTCCTGGCGTCAAAGGCCAGTTCAAGGTCGTCGACAGCCGCCTGAAGAAGGACGTGAGAGCTCAGAAGCGCAAAGAACAGAAGAAAAAACACCGTAAGTGATGTGAGACCAGCTCCATCCTCAGCGAGGGACTCAGCTTGGGGCATGGGTCAGAGCTGGCTCCTGTCCTCCCACTGTGGCCTCGGGAGCAGCTGGCTCACCCTGCCACTCTCCCTCGTCGTGGGGACAGGGCTGTGACCTAGCCACATGTTGCTGTTAGTTCGTGCCTTGATGTGACATTGCTTCCTGTCCTCCGGTGGGGCAGGGAGGGTTTTATTTGGCCTCGGTGCTGTAGCATCGATCCCCTTCCTGTGCTCGCTGTGTGGCCACATCTCCAGGTCTCTGACCGGTGCTGGCTGTGCTGGGACACTCGCCCTGCGGAGATGGCACGAGCATCCACACCGGCCCTCGCTGTGCCCAGAGAGGTTGCGCCTAACGGGGGCGGCTCCCTGAGCCATATTTGTCACCGAGGGGTGATGGGTGCTGAGCCCTGAGGCAGGCGGGTGTTGGTGGTCTGCACAGAGCAGCTCCTTGGTTACAGCAGAATTAAAACCCGGTCTGAGACCACACCGGGATGTGTCCTGCGCCTTGGCGAGGTGAGGGGCTTAGGCTGCGAGCTGCCATGTCCCTTCATGCACCGTTTGGCAGGCAGAGAGAGGACGGTCAGGTAGGTGGGTTCTGTGTATCTCTGCTAATGCCTCAGGGAGCCCACCAGCCTCGGGCCCACCTCATTTTATCACTGGCAAAGAAGCTGAACAGCGATTGCCCCGCCCGGCAGCCAGCCAGCTTGACATCCACCCAACCAACACAGTCCACAGCAGCCACCCCATCCCCACTGCCCCTCCATCCGTACCCCCTCCAGGTGTGGGACCGTGCAAGTTTAGGAAAAGAAAGACTGCGAGAAAAGATGCAATGGGGAAATGTATTTATTTAAACCCAGGACAGGGGCTGGGGGGACCATGGCTTTTCTCAGTCAACAAGTGCCCAGATCTGTTTTGGTGGAATTGCAGAGGTGTCCCCAGGTCCCTCATGAGGACAGTGGCACCATGTTAGTGCCAGGGTGGGGGCGGGGGTGGCACCATGACCCAGGGAGAGCAAGACTGGGTGAGTGGCGGTCAGGATCTGCTGGGGAAGGGACAGTCAGTCTGACAGGAGGGAGAGGTCTTGGTCCCATTCAGGTGCTGTGGGGTGCCCCAGAGCTCCCGGGGGGTGGTAGAGGGGAGATGCACTGGGGTCTCCCTGTAAAGCCACTTCTTGGCTGCTCAACCAAAGTCAAATACCCATGGCAGGAGCTGGCAGAGCAGCAAGACGTCTCTGCCCATGGGTCTGCGTCAGCCCCTCGGCTGTGGCTCCATTGGGTGCTGGTGGGGTGGGAGCTGTGCTACAAGGAGAAGCGGCTGAGGCCAGAGCGAGCCATGCCGTGCTGGGTGCTGGTGCTGCTGTGAGCATCTCTGGGCCACGTTGTGCCCCCAAGGAGGGTCAGGGCTGTGGCCAGGGTGGGAGCGGAGACCATTGGCCGTCACAGTCCTTGATGGCTGAGGGAGTTGGGCTGAGCAGAGGGGACCAGCTGCCAGGCTTCAGGCTGTGCTAGAAGTTTTCCTGCTCCTGACCATCAGCCTCTTCAAAATCAAATCCGGGTGTGCTGTGAGAGGAGAGTTCCTCTGCCCCCCAGCCACCCTTGTCTGCCCCTGGCCGGCTCCATCCCCAGCAGCCTAGTGTCTCATCCCCTGTGTGACCCCAAACCTATGGATGGGTTGCTCCATAAGGTGGACAGGAGGAAGGCCAGGGCTGATGGGGGTCTGACCCCCCTCAAAGAGGCACAGCTCCTCTCTGCACCCCACAACCTGGACACCTGGGTCCTCCCTGACCTCTAGTCCTACACGCTCTGGCCAGCATGTCCCCATTGATCAATGCAGGGGCTCCAGGCTCTTGGCTGACCTCCTCCATCCCCACTCACTGCCCTCCTTCCCCTGGGTCCAGGGGCTCAGCACAGCCCAGCTTGGCCCTTCAGGGCTGGTGGGTCCCCATCAGGGTGCCGATGGTGGGGTGATCCCCCTGTCCTGTCGAGCTTGGCCCCTACCTGAGCTGCAAGGTACGATATAGGCAGCATCCGTGAGGTCACCTGCAGTGGGAATGTTGATGACCAATGGGCTCAGGATGAGCTGCTCCCATTAATGAACCAAAGCTCGTCAACATGAACTGACAGCTCAGACAGACCACCTCTGAGCCACTGGGGTGGCAAGGGGTGGCAGGAGGGCCAGGCACCCCAGGGCCACATCCCTGGTGGGGCTTACCCGTCTCGTAGTAGTCATACAGCGTCACGGTGGCTGGCTGGAGGTTCCTCACTGGGAAGTCCTGCGTGGCGGTGAAGGCAAAGGTCTCCTCCTCCTTTGTCAGCTGTGGAGATGGCCCAAGCATGAGATGCAACCATCCACGATGGGGAAGCAGCCCCATGCCCCAGGACGTGGGGTTCTGCTCCCGTCCCCGTGCCCTATCTCACCTGGTCTAGATAAATCGTCAGCTGGTTGGTCTGCACCTCTACCTTCTTCACCAGATTCTGCCTCTTCAACACGGCGCAGGATGGGCACAGCTACTTGGTGGGTGCCCCAGCCAGGGCCAGCATCCCGAGTGGGTACCCCTCCATGTCCCACTGGCCCAAAGGGGCAGGGATTCAGTGGGAAGGTGGGTGCCCCAGTGGGGCAGAGGGGCTCTGGGGGGCAGCAGGGGCTTCTTACCTCCACCACGGAGCTCTTGTCCGGGATGTAGCCAGACGGCAGCTTGGCCTCGATGACAGCCATGTTGGTGGTGGGACGCTCCCCGGTGTACCTGCAAGGGCAGAGCGCTGGGGTGGGGTTGGGGTCTGCTGTCCCTCCTTGGCTGCTCGTGGCCTCCCCAAACCAGGGGGGCAGCCCCAGCCCCTACCGTGCCCGGAGGAGGAGGCGGAAGCGGGTGCTGGCGTCCCCTCTGCACTCCCCGGGCTCTGTCTCCACGTGGAGGTCAAACGTCCCCACGCTTGGAGGGGGTGGCACGTTATAGCGCAGGGTCACCTGGGGTGATGCAGGAGGGTTAGAGCCACTGAGCGGGCACCACACGGGGATGGGGACCCCAGGCCGTACCCACCTGCACCAGGGCACAGCCCTGCCCGCG